TCGAGACCTGCCGACTCTTCTGGAAGACTCTATCCTCCTTCTTTGTCTCGGAGCCTTGGGTCTGAGATGGAGAGGACCAGGAGGCATGCCCAGCCTGAGGGGCAGACTTGTGCTGTTGCCTGTCCTGTGCTCTTGCTGGTCCTGGGCTCAGCTTCTGATGCACTTCCTGAGTCCATTTCTCCCTGACTACCCATGGCAGTACCTGGGGCCTCTGTCTTAGTCCTTCAGGCTGTCATAATCCTTCAGGATTCAGAAACAACAGAAGTGTGTTTCTCAGAGCTTTGGAGGCTGGAAGTCTGAGGTCAAGGCCATGGCAGATTTGGTGTCAGGTGAGAGCCATGGACAGCTCATGGATGGTGCCTGCTCCCTGTATCCTCACTCATTGGGAGGCTGGACAAGTGCTCTGGAGCCTCTTTCATAAGGCACGACTCCCATTTGTGAGGGCTCTACCCTCCTGATTTGGGTCACCTTCCAGAATTCCTCCTCCTGATGCCACCATCAGAGGAATGAAGATTTCAAAATCTTAATTTTACAGGCACAAACATTCAGATCTTTGTGGCCTCCAAACACCAAGGAAGTTTTCCTCCATAATGGAGGAATGCAGAGGGCCACTCACATAGGTCTCCTTGGTCCTGGAGCTGTGCAGACAGATGCATGGCGCTGCGGCAAGGCCTGACATGCACCAGAACTGGGCCCCGGGGCCAATCACGCAGGGCCCACAGTTTTCTAAATATACAGCGTCTTACACTGACTTTTTACAAGTTAGCATTTGTCTTTTACTCAATTTACCGCTTTTCCTTAACAAACATCTCAAGATGAATCACGTCACAGACATAAATGTATTAGCTTATGGCTTTCACTGTCATTATAATTCTATATTTCAAGACAAAAATCGATGTGCCTTGAATCATGACCTTGCATACTTCAGCTCAATGTGCCTTGAATCATGACCTTGCATACTTCACCTGGCTTTCAGAACCAGCAGCGAAGGTGGCAGTGATCAATGTGACATGCTGACATGGCACTGGAGCACGGGCAGATGTGGGGTCATTGCATCGCTCACTGTCCAC